CACCCCAAAGTTTCTCTATCATTATATATATTCTTCAATTCTCCTTCCAGATTCAAAGTTGATAATCACTATTAAGATGAGAAGAAAAAATACCACTTAAGAGAATTATTATTTTTGGAGTCACCATTAAAGGTCATTCGAAGCTTCAATTTCAGAAATTGAATTTTTCGATTTTGTTAGTTGTTTGGATTGGGTGTTGGCCCAATTGATTGGGATCATCAAGGGAAGTTCAAAACTCAAATTTGAAATGATTTGGAGCATATTTGAGGTAGATTTGAGGTAAATTTCAAAAATTAAATTTTTCGATTTTGTTAGTTGTTTGGATTGGGTGTTGGCCCAATTGATTGGGATCGTCAAGGGAAGTTCAAAACTCAAATTTGAATATTTGGAGCAGATTTGAGGTAGATTTGAGTTGAATTTCAGAAGATGCCCAAAGAAGAAGAAGAACCAGTGAATTACAAGTAATGTATAATAGTGTATAAACACATCTTATACATTATTATATACAAGTCTGATACATTATTTACAGGTATTTGGTGGATTTCTCACATTTCTTCTTCTTCTTCTTCTTCTTCTTCTTCTTCTTCTTCTTCTTCAACTGCTACACCTATATACATGGTGTATCACTAACATTTTCACTACTGTGCTTGTATATTTTTATACACTTTTATACAACTATATATATATATATATATATAATATACCTCTTTGTATAAAAGTGTATAATATTGTATAAAAGTATATAAGCATCTCTGACGAATTTTTTGTACGATTTTCACTTGCAATTCTTGATTAAGACTATTCCAAATCTCCACTAAATGACTTTAAACTTTGTATACAATCTACTTAGACTAATTTTAATAAGTTCAAACAATATCCACTTCAAATTTCTCATAAAATCATATTCAAAAACTAACAAGATTAGCATTAAAGAAGATGAGATTTTACATTTCTCACGTCTGTTTGTGAATTTTCGTAGTTGTGATAGGTATGTAGAAACTTGAGGAAAAAGGAGAATGGAAATATTTCACGCTTGAAGATATAGAGAATAAAAAAACTGGAAAAAAAATTCAGATCTAAGCTTATTGATATTTGGCTACACATTTGCAAACTTGTAAGTGAGCTAAAATAATGCAAGGTCAACTTATGGAGTGTATTATTATGTAATTTTGTCTTTCCTTTTCTATTATCTCCGCTATTAGGGGTCATGGTTGGTGGGATAGAAGGGGAGCCTTCGAGCAACAGTAAAATTGTCTATGTGTGACCTATAGGTTAGGGGTTCGAGTCATGGAAGCAGCCACTAATGCTTGCATTAGGATAACATATCTACATCGCACCATTGGGATGCAGCTTTTTTCCGGGTCCTACATGAACGCGGGATGCCTTATACACCGAATTGTCATGTCCTTTTAGTTGGTGGGATAAGGGATAATAATTCTGAGAGTCTATGCAAAATTATTTTATCTCACATTTAGTTAAATGTTTAAATTCAAAATTAGTAATCTCAGGATTAGTTTATACTACAATTATGATATTATTTTATCCCCCATTAAGGATGAAAATATAATTTTGGGATTACTTTATCCTGGGATAAAATATTACAATGATAAAAATGCTCTTTTTCAAGGCTCTTCCCTAAAAATCTTTTAAAAAGTCTAAGGTTACAATTAAAATAAAAATATATCCCAACTTATCTAGTATACACAAAACATATTTTTTATATTATATCTCGAATATCCCACATTAGTCCAATAAATAAATACTTTTCAATAAAAATATATCCACTAAATAATCATGTTATTATTTAATTCTATTATTATAATTCTAACATTATAATTTTGAGATAACTTATTCCCAACCAAATGACTCATTAATGTATCCTTTGAACTCTCTTCACATAATGTCGAATGCAGTGAATGACAAAATATAATAATAATTTAACATGCAAAATTTTATGACCAAAAGTAAGATTTTCTCCTTTAAAAATATTTTTTTATATTTGCTATTCGGTGTTCGGTATCCTCAATTGAGGGGCTCAATGATCAAATTTGTACTGTTAAGGTCCATTAAATGGAAAAATACTCTTTATCAAGATTTCCTCATTCGACACGAGTTTTAATTAAAAATAAAGAATTCTTATCTATCCCACCATAATGACGGTAACATATATAAAGTCTAAATATCTCTTTATGCTCTTTTCGTTCACTTTCAATTGTACATAATTACAAAAACTAACTAGTAGAAACATATACTTGTACCATCCATAGTCACAAAGAAGCAAAATAAAATTAAAAGATGCGGCATTTCCACCCTGTATTTTATATTGACCAAAATAAAAATGTGACTTGAACAAAGGCCACCCATTGCGATTTATGCAAGTTATAATTGGCTTCTACTTTTTTAGTTCTTAGAATTTATGGGAGACCGAATCATAATCTTGTACAACAAAGACGTAGAAAGGAGAACCTAGTTCTTTAGACTTGTCGTTAGTTGGTTGTTAAACAAGATTTGCATGAATTACATTAGAGTTGTAATATAGCTATGCTCAAAATAATAAATAAGATGCAATATAGAAGTAAAAAACTTAATAGATATTGTTTCATAGAGTAAGAAGGGGAGCCATGGTACGTTAATAAAAATTATTATTTGTGACCCTGGAGGCCACGAATTGATCAAGTTGTGTAAACAACTTCTTACAAAAATATAAAGTAAGGTTGTATAGTTGATTTGATTCTACCTTTTCTGCACTCTGTGCACAACCAAAGCTCTCTGCATTGAACTATCTCTTTTTGTTTTATTATAGAGAAATATTTTGTAGCTCCATTTTAAGAAAACAATCTGATACATAATAAATATGACATTTTAAAGATAAAATAATAAATAATGCCTACGTTTTCTGATGAAATGAATACTAAATATTATTAGAAACTTATAAAAAAATGTAAGCAATCAAAACAAACAAACATATATGAAATAAATAACCACAGATAAATTTGATAAGTCATCTATCTACAATTAGCTGAAAAATTAAAATCCATAAAACTTGGATAACAAAAGGCCTGTGACATGATCATTTTGGGGGAAGTTTAGCAAATACCCATGCGCAGTAAATTATATTATAGTATTTTTTAGGGTAGCTATTAACTTTTGACTCCCACTTAAAATTTTAAGACCAAAAGTTAAAAATATTAACCATACGACAAAGCAGGGCAAAAATCGAAAAAAATAAAAAATAATCTGATCTACAATTGCTAATTGAAAAATAATCATAATTTTAAAAGTATTTGAGATTTAGCCTTTTTTCATGTACAAAATAAAATCTGAATAAAAAAAATCTTTGAAATCCGAAAAAATTCCATCATAATATGCTCGAGTTCGAGTTTTTACATGTGAGATTCCAGCATAATGTGCTGGAGTTTTAACATAACATGTTAGAAATTTATATGCAAGAGCTCAATAATCAAACATATTATGCTAGAACTTTCCGTATTTTAGCTAGTTATTTTTGTTCAAATTTTATATTCGTATAAAATAGTAGCTATTTTTTAATAACTTTATAAATATCCACTATTTTTCAACTACCAATCTGAAAATTGGCTAGCACATACTATTTATACCAAAAATTCAATACCATGGAAGACTACTAGTGTATTTGATGATTGGCTATAATTACGTATTTTAGTCGATTATTACACTCTAATTTACTGCACTTTAGTTGAGTTTGCGCTTTAATCGCTAGTGTTTTGCACTAATTGTGTGTTTTATGCCTTGTAGGTGTGATTCCGAGCTATATAGATGTTATGAAATAAATTTAAGTGGTTTGGAGCTTTGAAGTCTGAGTAATAGCTCAAGGAATTAAGCCGGGATCGTGTTCGGGGANGTAAAAATTAAAGTGTGGGTTGGTTGGTTTGGCTTTTGAGTGGAACTAATGAAATAAGGAGAAAGGGTGCATTGATTTGAAAAGCAAGAGCCACTTGAATTGAAAAAGAAAAGAANGGGTTTAAAGGCAGGATTAGGGATAACGAATTCTTGGGTGCGATCTGAAGTGAGCTGTATCAAAAGCCAGCTAGCGTAGCTCGGGAGAGTGCGTCNTGAAAACTCGAAGAGGCATATTGCGCACTATCTAGTACAATAGATATAACTTTTTACTCAGAACTCCATTTGAGCTCTACAATATATGGTTGGAAAGCTAACTCAAAGTGCTACAACCTTCATGTTTTACATTTTTCCAAATTCCAAACGGAAAAGGGTCAAAAACCGCGACTTCGGCAGAACCGCGGCAGAACCGCGACAGAGGGCAGTCGCGGACAACTGAAGAATCTGAGAGGGTGTTTGGCCGCGGTTCCGGCGCGAACGCGGTGGAACCGCGGCAGGATGCATAAATTTCAGGGACCAAAGTTCAAAACACGGGATTTTAAGCCCTAAACCCTATATTAAACCAAGGAAGCCGGCCAAGAATTGAAAAACGACATATTTTTGACATAGATTTGACCTAAGGAGGAGAGACACAATAGGAGCAAGGCTTGGGAATTCTTCTACAAGTTTTTTCTTTCCTCTTCCTATTTTCATTGTTGGTTATGACTTTTAGTATTGTAGTTTTACATACTATTATGAATAGCTAATTTGTTATCTAGAGTTTTGATAGAACCTTTTGTAAGATAAATTCTTGTTATGTTTTTATATAATTGAGCCGTAGTATAATCTCTATTTGTTCAACTACGTTCTTATTNAAAAAGTGTAGTTTGATTGCTCGAGGACGAGCAATAGTTTAAGTGTGAGGTATTGATGATAGGCTATAATTACGTATTTTAGTCGATTATTACACTCTAATTTACTGCACTTTAGTTGAGTTTGCGCTTTAATCGCTAGNACTTGTCTTCTTGGTGATAGTGAACAACTGTAGCTAAGCCTTAGTTCTCTTTGGGATTCGACTCCGGACTTGTAAACCGGATTATATTTGCAACGACCGCATTGTCCGCATAGTACTTCACCCAAAAACATCATTAAACCCATGGGAAAATCCAAAAGAAGTCTTGTCGCACCTAAAAGAGAAACTCCAAACATCGTTCAAATTCAATATGCATTAACGACTATTTTGATCACTAGGAGAAAACAACTACTACACCATGAGAGCAAATCTTAGAGCATCACTGAAGCTTGTAACTTCTTCTTCACCTAATAATCATTCACTATGTACTGTTCGATCTTTTTCTACAGCAAAAACAACAACCCATTTGAAAGAGAAGACCTTTTTCGAATCCTCAAACAAAGACCAACTGATTAAGCGGTTATGTAAAGAAAACAAATTCAACGAAGCCCTTCAAATTCTTTGCGAGCAAAGGCGTTTAAAAGAAGCCATTCAATTGCTCGAACGTCACGAAACCCGTCCTTCAGCTACAGCTTTTTCGACCCTTTTGCGAATGTGTACAGAAAATGGGGCTCTTGACGAAGGAAAGAGAGTTCATAGGAGTATGAAATGTTCAGGTTTTAGACCTGGGGTTGTATTATCTAATCGGATTCTTAATTTTTATTGCAAATGTGATAAACCTTATGATGCACACGACCTGTTTGTTGAAATGTCTGAGAGAGATTTGTGTTCTTGGAATATTATGGTCTCTGGGTTTGCTAATTTGGGTTTGATTGATGAAGCTAGGAAGTTGTTCGATGAAATGCCCGAGAAGGATAACTTTTCTTGGACCGCGATGATCTCGGGTTATGTGAGGCATAATAAGCCTGAATGTGCATTGGAATTGTATAGAGTGATGCAGAGGGATGAGGATTTTAAGTGTAATAAATTTACGATCTCGAGTGCTCTTGCTGCTTCTGCTTCTATTCAGTCTTTACGTTTGGGAAAGGAGATTCATGGTCATATTGTGAGAACTGGGTTGGATTCTGATGCAGTTGTTTGGAGTGCGTTGAGTGATATGTATGGAAAATGTGGTAGCGTGGACGAAGCTAGGCATATTTTTGATAGGACTAAAGATAAGGATGTTGTTTCGTGGACAGCTATGATTGATAGGTACTTTGGAGATGGGAGGTGGGAGGAAGGTTATTTGCTGTTTTCACATTTGATGGAGTCGGGGATTAGGCCTAATGATTTTACTTTTGCTGGAGTTTTGAATGCGTGTGCGCACCAAACGACAGAGCATTTGGGAAAACAAGTACATGGGTACATGATGCGTATTGGCTTTGATCCTTGTTCGTTTGCAGCAAGTACCTTAGTTCATATGTACGCCAAATGTGGGAGTGTAGATAGTGCGTATAAGGTATTTAAGCGGCTCCTAAGGCCCGATGTAGTTTCTTGGACCTCATTGATTAATGGTTATGCTCAAAATGGCCAACCTAATGAAGCTCTTCGGTTGTTTGACTTGTTGCTTAAATCTGGTACTCAGCCTGATCATATTACTTTTGTTGGCGTTCTTTCTGCTTGCACTCATGCAGGTTTAGTTGATGAAGGGCTTGAATATTTTTACTCAATAAAGAACAAGCATCGTCTAACCCATACTTCAGACCACTATGCTTGTGTGGTTGATCTCCTGAGCCGATTTGGCAGATTTAAGGAGGCTGAAGAGATTATTAGTCAGATGCCAATGAAGCCTGATAAGTTTTTGTGGGCTTCCTTGCTTGGAGGATGCAGAGTCCATGGAAATGTTGAACTAGCAAAGAAAGCTGCTGAAGCATTATTTGAAATTGAGCCCGAGAACGCAGCTACTTATGTTACCATTGCAAACATATATGCCACTGCTGGAAAATGGACTGAAGTGGCAAAAATCAGACAAGTCATGGAAGAGAAAGGTGTGGTGAAGAAGCCAGGTATAAGTTGGATTAATTTGCAGAGAAAAGTCTACGTTTTCTTGGTCGGTGATAAATCACATCCTAGGTCAAAGGAAATATATGACTTTTTAGGGGAGCTGTGGAGGAGAATGAAAGAAGAGGGATATGTCCCTGACATAGACAATGTGCTGCATGATGTGGAAGAGGAACAGAAAGAGCAAAATCTCTCCTATCACAGTGAAAAACTTGCAGTCGCCTTTGGAATTATTGCTACTCCACCTGGGACACAGATAAAGGTTTTTAAGAATCTACGGACTTGCGTTGACTGTCACACTGCGATCAAATATATCTCTCAAATTGAAAAGAGAAGAATTATTGTGCGGGATTCCAGTCGGTTTCACTGTTTTGAGGGTGGGAGTTGTTCGTGCAAGGACTATTGGTGATTTTCTCCTGTTTTTTTTAAAGGAAGCTACAGAAAGCAAAACTATCATGTCTTGCTATTGAACTGGAATGGTTTTGCAACAAATTGTGTTATTCTAAGGAGGTATTCTACTTCATTCTGCATCTTGTCATTATTTTGCCAATGACTTTTGACTACTTGGTCGGTGACGAAGTGGTAGTAAACAATGTGATTCCAGCATACAAATATTGTTTTTCTTCCGTTATAGAGAGAACTTAGTAAAGCTAGCAGTTTGCAGATGATGAGGTTTTCGATAAGACCCTGTATACAGAAACTTTTTGATAGACACTGTATACAATATTTTTGGATATAATTCATGTCATATCAACATTTTTTGAAATGAATTCATGTTATATCAACTTTGTTCTTTGATAGTCCTAGTTGTGAACTTTCCCTTTTGAGGGTGCTATTCTAATATGTAATTACTGTGAAGTAAAAGTAAGTTTTGTTTGGTTTTATTCTTTAGTTTCCTGTGGGTGTTTTGTGTTTACGTTTGAATTTTGTCTTGATGCTACTTTTTTTTGCTTCAGTTTTTTGTTTCTTTTTCATTCACGTGAAATCCTGTTGCTCCAGTGTAAGCAGTGGAGTAGACATCGCATCAGCAAGTGAAATTCTCCTTTCTGATGCATGAAATGTGCATTTCCTTTGTTTTTTTTTTTCTTCTTTTTTCTGTGCATGTTTTGGTTCTTGTCTCCTAGTATTATCTTGCTGAGATTGTTTGCCTTAAAAGCTCTAGTGACTCGTCAGTAATCCCTTGTCCATATCTTTGTATTCCATTATAGCCGTATAGGATCTCCCCTTTGTATAAACAATCCAATTCGTTGTGCGAATAAGATTTGTATTCTCATCTTCTTTTATTGTATTTCTACTTTATGCAGATGCAATTGGTACAAGGATATGGTTGGACTCTTGTATCCCTTGGCATTTGCTTCTGGAAAAAAGTATTCTCTTCAAGTAACTTTCACGAGACAGCTTTTGGGTGCTTTTTCAGTGTAAGACTCATAAATCTTCAATCTCTTGGATTTCTATGAATAAAGTCTGATAATGGTACAACCTGTGTGCAAATTTAATGATCTAGAATTAGTGAACTCCTTAATTTCTTTTATATATTAAGTGCAAGCTTCAAAGCCACACACACACATACACACTGCACTCTCTTTTCCTTCTATACTTATAACCAAGCAGATCGTCTAGCCAAGCTTTTGTTACTGGTTTTCAGCCTGCTTTCTCCTAATGAATAAGTCAAATAATTTATTAGAAAAGAATTTAGGGGATGCAACCTGCCTACAAAATTTGAATGACAGACATCCTTGACTTTGTTACATGTTAGGAATCTGGAATATTAACTCTAGGGAATTTACAGTGACGGTATGTCTGTGTTGATTCATTTATAAATTCAAAGGCTAATATACAAATAACAACCGTCTACATTTTACGGATTAAAAGAGAAACATCACCTGCATTTTATGAAAGACTTAATTATTAAGGCTAAATGTAATTCTTTTGTTTTGGCGGAGAAAATGATAGAAATGAAGGGTCCAAGTTAGGTATGCTTTTGGTGCTGTGTAGTTTACATGCAACTTTTGACATCTAATATCTAAGATAAGCCAAAGGATAGCCAATTTGGCACAACTTATGGCAATGACGTGCTTTTAGCACTTCTTGAATATGGTGGTAATTTTCACTAAAAGGCCCTAAAAGGTGCATGTGCTGTTCAAACAAAAGGGCCTTGATTCCCTTTTAAAACAGCATCGAATTTATAAAGTCCAGTAGAGAGATAACATCATATACAAAAGATGAGAATACACTTGAATTTAACATCTGTAAGCATCTGATTTTTACACAAGATTGCAACTTGTAATGTGTGGGTAAGGTGCATGTCACAGGTTTGAACCTTGCCGCAAACAAAAGCCTGGTATTTAATTGGAGAAGAATAGAGGAGCGGGCCCATTATCTGCGGAGTTTCTAATCATGCACCACTAGGTCCTCGGGGATTTCTCGGGTTATCAAAATAAAATAAAAAAATCTAGGCATTATATTAAGAAGTAGTTCAGCAGTGTTGGCTTTCTACTCATTGGTTTATCCTTAGAAGAAGCTATAAAACTGGAGATCACAAATTTTTTAGTCTCGAATAGTTCTGAAATTTCCTAAAAGATTTGTAAGAAACTGTATAATTTGAATATATCTACTTGTTAAGTTCAGAATTTCAGGTTGAATTTATTGAAAGATCTTGAACATTTTGTAGGATGTTTGTGACATTGTAGCATGTTCTCTTCGATTAAATGAACTGATTCTCATGAGCTATACCAATTTGTCCACTGGTACTGTTTGAATATTGAGCTAATTAACAATTTACGCCCTTCAAGAGAATTTTTTTATATTTTGAAGCGAATATATTAGCAGAATAAGGAAGATATGATTTTAGTCCATCATAAATGTTATTTTTGTTATGGAACCTTTTCCACAGGAGATCAGCGAATAATAACATAAGAGGCAAAAAAGGCAGCCCGTTGTACTAAGCTTCCGCTATGCGCGGGGTCCGGGGAAGGGCCGGACCACAAGGGTCTATTGTATGCAGCCTTATCCTTAACATAGGAGGTGTGTAAATAAAACACATGAATTGTAAGTGGCATAGGAGATCATTTATAGGTATTCTAAAATCTTGATCGATGCTAAAAGAATAAAATAAAACATGCCCTTTTTTCCAACGACTTCCTTTGAATGGAATGTAAAAATGAATATTTGAAGTTTCATATTGCTTTTAATAGATGCTTTTTAATTAAACCAAGTTCCATTCTTTCTTAAATATTGCCCATTTGGTGATGCAGGGAAGGAGTTTTGCTCAGATAGCTTTCGTCCAGGCCTTGGTGGTTTTTGCTATTGGAAGAACTGATCCCTGAAATCCGGGCAATTGTTTGTGCACTCCATATAATTCTACGATGTAGTCCCCAGAGCTTTGGTCTTGGTGGTAAGACCACAACACGTGATGTGTCAATTAGGTTGTCACGAGCTAAAACCCCGTGACAAGGACTTGGTATTTTAGTGGAGAAGGGTAGATGGATCCATTATAAGAGTTGCCATGACTTCTTCGGCTATGTTATGAATGTTTTGACTTAAATGGAGATTTCCTAACATTATGAGAATTTCATGTGAACTCTAAGACTTGTTGGAACACTGGTATCATGTTTTCTGTATATGAATGGCATGTTGAACTTGAATGCCAAGTTCAAAAGTTGTGTTTACAGCCGAAGGTGCCAAATAATGTTCTTAAAGTGTTTCGGGAGTATCATGAACCTTCATGTCAGATCCATACGAGGTTATGATAGAGACGGCAAAACCGGTCGAGCTGATACCCCAGGTAGGATTAATGTCAGATTACAGCGTTATGGTGAGACGGCTATGTCGGTCGAATCGATACCTCCGAGCAGACTCCATGAATGATTTACTATACACGTGATTATGTTCTAATTCAGTGTCCTTAGGTGCTCATTTAAATGTGATAGGTTTCACAAACGTACTATGACTACGAAATGCTTTATTTATGTTATTGCTTCGATACATATATACATTATTACTTTTTAAATTCTCATCCGAACTTAAGTGAAGGAGCATATGATACTTCGTGAGTACAATGAAGTTTTTAATGTAATAACGCTACTTTGTGGGGCAGGCGTTGATTTGTGGATGCAGGTAGACGTTCATACGAGTTAGGATTAGGGGTGTACATAGGTTGGGTTGGTTCGGATTTTGCAATTATCAAACCAAATCAATTATATCGGGTTTTTAAATCTATAGATCAAACCAAACCAATAAAAGTCGGGTTTTTCAATATCGGGTTTCTCGAGTTTTCCGTTCCGATAAACTTGTGCTCCAAACTATATATAGCTGCCATCATAAAATTTTAATAAATTCCTGCAGCTATCTTGGAGTACAAAAAAGAACAGGAGGACCATGCAAATATAAAAGTCTAAAATTATACACCAAAAAAGGATCATGACAATAACACCTTGTGGGGTCAGGATCAATCTTATACGAGGCATTTTCTTGAATGAGCATGTTGTAACATGTTGCTTGAGTACAACAGGTCTACTTGAATGACAACCATGGTGGCTATTGTGTTAACCAAACAATGAATGGCAATAGGTGTTAAGGAAAAATTACTCCTTACACAATGCAAATGTCTTTTTTCCAGTAAATATTAGAAAAATACTATATATCAGGTATTGGATCTTGATATGTCAACACACTGTGTTCTAATAAAACATTAACAAGCCAATGAACTATTCCTGAAGGCTACAACTCCATACATTTCCATATCAGTTCTACTAAGTCAAGAGAAAGATTGAATTAGATTTAAACAATATCTGACCATTAGGAAGTAGGCAGAATGAGAAAATTATCTCCAAAAATATAAACTGCATATCATATTGCACTCTACATAAGAATTATCACCAACTTTTTAAGAGTAGACATTACACCCAAAAGTTCTAAAAGATAAACAAAAAGAGAATATATTAAACTCTAAGATGTTGGGCATCTTAGTAGATATTACAACTAGAGGAGCATGTTTCCAAAATACTTGTAAAGGCATAATGACCTCACTTCCAAAAATAGTCATGAAGCAAATTGTAGTTAATCATCCCTCTAATCAATCCTCAAAGGTGAGTTTACATATTCTGGAAAAAAAGAAGAAAAAACAATTAACATATTTAAATATTAATTAATGTAAAAAATAACTATACTCATTAACAACTGAATATAAATTATTACCTTCTTCAATTTGCTCAATTTTCTGGACTTCCTCTTGTCACACCTCCTTTTTCCGCCCCCGCGAGGGTACAAGGAGTTTTTCCAATTAAAGAACAATCGAAACGGGATTTATTTATTTCAGAGTCGCCACTTGGGAGATTTAGGGTGTCCCAAGTCACCAATTTAATCCCGAATCGAGGAAAAGAATGACTCTGTATTACAGTCTGCGAACCAGAAATCCGGATAAGGAATTCTGTTAACCCGGGAGAAGGTGTTAGGCATTCCCGAGTTCCGTGGTTCTAGCACGGTCGCTCAACTGTTATATTCGGCTTGATTATCTGATTTTATACAAATATGAACTTATGTGCAAATTTTATCTTTTTACCGCTTTCATAATTGTTATTATTATTTTTACAAGAATGTGAACATCGTTTAAAAACATGTCTTTGGATTGCGTCACATAAAATGCACCCGCGATCCGGAACGTATTTTTATTCAATGTTTTAGGATTTGGATTTGGGTCGCATAAATGCGCACCCATGTTTAAGAATGTATTATTATTAAATCGTGCCTAAAGCGATTAGCGTATTATTATTTATGGGTAAGACTGTGGAATTCACTAAACAGTCCATCCCGAATTCTAAATACTCAATTAAATATTTATTGAGGGCCCCGCAATTAGTGCATTTTATTGGACGAGGCTCATCTCATTTTATTTTTAAAAGGACAGTCCTAAAATGCCTACATTTTTATTGAAATTTGTCTCTACAAAATAAAGGAGAAATATCTTAATTTATTTACATGTTATTACCTAGTTACATTATACTAGGCATGTTCTCAGTTTGTCAAAATTAAAAAAAAAACATAACAATTCTAATTTTAATCCTAGACAATTTACGTGCTGCAATTAACCAATATTATTTAACTAAATAAATTTCTACCAACTTCCTACTAG